ATAAACATCCTAGGCTAGGTTTTCTGGAACTGTGTCCACTCTTCTTCTATCAATACCTCTCTAAAGGTTGTCCACAAAACCACCCTTTTTTTTTTTTTGGTTCTTAGTCTTTGCCCCTTGCTTTAATGGTGGTATTATAGCTATTTATTTTAAATTGTAAAATTGAATGGATGAATGATAGGTCATCTACCCTGATTAAGAAAATATCTGCTAAATGTTCACTTGCATTTGCATTGCAAGTCTTGGCCTAAGAGACTGAACATGCGGTGTCCTTGACAAAGAAAAGACATTAACAAAAAGGAGAAAAAAATTCAGTGTGGAAAATTAATGATACTTCCACTAGTGTCCAGCAAAATGATTGAAAACATGTGAAAGTAAGTGGATTCAAGTTAAAAGAAATACATGCATGAAAGCTTTCCCTTCAGGGCAAGTGTTCAAGTGCCTCTGTCTATATCCAGCCTAAATAGAAATTCCTAGGAAACTGAAAGAATAAAAGCAAAATCGTGATGAGCCCTAATAAGCTTCTGTGTGTAGGGGCATGTGGTTGACCCCATCAAACTGTTCACACCTGAAAGAGCACGTACATAGATTCAGAGATTAACTTTTTAAAAAATGCTTTACCCTAATGTTAAAAAAAGTAATGCCTCACCCCCAAAACATGTGACATGTCGATGGGAAAACTGTTGATCGAATGTTTTGCTCTGCAGAAACTTTAGACTTACCGACATGCTCTTTGCCTTCCTTTGATCACACTTCCCTGGAGTTGGCAGGCCCTGGCAAGGCCCCTTGTAGACGGGCCCTTGGGCAAATCTTCTACTGTCCTGCCTTGCTCTATTATGCCGTGTCACATTAGCACATAATCCAGGAAGAGCCCTCTGCCCTTTCTGCCAGGGCTAAGGCCTCCTCTTCCTGTTCTTCCTCTTCATCCCCCACATATCCACTTCCATCTGAAAACACTGGAGAAAGAGGCTGAAGGGTAAAATCTTGGCAGTTGAGTAGTGGCAATAACCACAAGTTAGAGATTGTTTTGCTTTCCCTGGAAGTTTCAGAATGTCAATCACAAAATTAATAATAATAAAAAAAAAAATGATAGAGGTTCTCTTATCTTCGTTCAGACCCACAGGGACTCATTTTTCTATTCAGCTGTGTCTGGGTTGCTTACACTTCCCTAGAGCATGGTTTAGGAGTAAGATGTTCAAAACCTAAGAAAATGGAGTATGTTGCAGGTTCAACTACAGTTCAACCGCAAATACAGAGTATGCAGCAAGCTTTGGAAAATATAATATAGACTATCTTAGCCTTTTTATGGTATTAATTTTCTCCCACATCGCTTTAAGTTATTTTGTGCATGTCTTCTGGCCTCTGTCTGCCTGTTTTCTTCAAATTTTTCCTTCCAAAAGAAACCTTCTGACGATATGACGTGAATGCCTTCATTTATGACCCATGCCATTTATTTTGCTTATATGCTTGGTTAAATACTGGATTTGGCTCATACTTTCCATATGGAATTTTAATAAATTCATTATTCTCAAAGTAAAAAAGAATAACTTCTCATTTTTAAACTAAAAAACCTGCACTTAATTAATCTTTTAAGTAAATAAATATGTAAAAATATAGTAAAGAACTATTGGGTATTTTGAAAATTATTGCTTCTGCTTTATATTTTCTTTTCGGTCTTGAATTCCCCAAATAGTTTTAAAGTCACTTTTTCGCTGTTAGGTGCTACGTGGCTAATAACAAAGAAGGATAAACAGCTATTTAGTTATTTTGATGACTGCAGTCTATTGACATAATTTAGCACAGAAAAATAGAATTAAAATATTCTACCTCAAATAATGTGCTTTATAAAAAAACTTGGATCATCCAGGGAGTAACTCCGTTTTCCATTTTGCTTGATCTGTATTAACTGTGGATTTACTCATCTAGAATCTGATCAGGTATGCAGAATTTATAAATGTGTTTCCTTCTGATTTTGATCTTGTTCTGTGCTCTCTTCACTGTAGGTGTAACTAACCCCTAATAATGTTAGTTAAAAACAGGCTGATTTTAAAACATGTGCACATTTCACCATGTTTTATTTCCCTGAAGGAGACCACACCGCCAACGTAGTTTCTACTTTCATGCCACTCAGTGCTACTTAAAAACATATTGAAAAATGTCATTTAATTCCCCCCAAATTTCTTGCAGCTCAACTTAACTGGGTCTTTTCCATTATTGGGTGAGCATTCTTCCCTAATTGAATCACCATTACATTCCTCGCAGTGCCTAATCCCAGGATTGCTTGCTATTCTGTTTCCCAGAATTTGAATCTCTTCGTTCTCTGAAGATCACTTTGCCTCATCCTCAGAAGACTAAATTCATGTTATGTGAAGTCTACTAATGCCTCCCTTCTCTACAACAACCTTTCTATAACTTCATCTATTTCCTCTTTCTTTCCTTTCCTCAGAGGCTAACGTCTTCAATTGATCCCATCTCCTCCTGCCTCCTGAGACCTTTTCTTTGATAATCCCTTTTTTCTTAGGCCTGCGATCTCTCTCTCTGCCAAAGACACTCCTATCCTAAAAACAACAATGAAACAAATTTTTCTTCAACTCCACTTATCTCTCGAAGTGCATTCCTCTTCTCCTCGACCTAATCTTTAATCCAAACAATTTAGTTTTTATCCTCATTACTCCATTGGTACTAAACTCTCAAAAGTCACTGATTTATAATCTATTGGTAACCAAATCTAAGTACCTTTCTCTGCCACCCATTTCCCTCTGTAGCGTTTGACAGAGTAGATGACACCATCTTTCTGGAAACCAGAATATTTCCAGAATTCTGAATGGAGTCTTTTGTCGCCATGCCCTTATTCACATTTAAATCTACTATTATGTCAAATGCAGCAGGTCCAGAACAGATTCTTTTTTTCCCTTTCCCAACCTGCCTTTCCTGACTGTCCCCTTTCTGTAAGTGACGTCACCACCTTCCTTGTTACATAAAAGAGAACACTGGTGTTCTCTTGGATCCATGATTTCCTTACCCCCAGATCCATGAATGTTTAAGCTCTCAGAGATATGCTGCCCTGCAAGTCCTTTTAAATATGTAAACTTTCTTGAAGTGCAATTATAGGTTATTCCCTTGCTACTTATCACTCTGCTTTAATTTGCCATAACTTTACACATGCTGTACACCTTTTTCTCTAGATCTTTTAACATATTTATTACAATGATTTCATGTAATTATTTTAAGTATTGATTAAAATAATTATTTTACAATAATTATTCAAAAGCCCTGATAATCCCAGTATCTAGACCGTACTTTGGTCTCATTATATTTAAGATCTGACAGTGCTGGGTTCTATTCTCTATGTGTGTGTGTGCGTGCTTCATGATTCTGATTGAATGCCAGACATTGCATGTAAGAGAACAGTAGGTTCTGAGGTATGCCTAGAAATGGGTATGCCTCTTCTTCTGTCAGGCGGTGAGTATAAATGGTTGTGTCAACGTAGTCTGTAATTTAGTAAGAGTTGGACTGTCTTTGCTTTAGTTATGTTCAATGGACTACAGCCTTAAATTCCCCCGGTTGGTAAACGACCCCGCCTTGTACTAAGTGAAAGGCCTGGAGCCAAAGGGCTCCTCCCAGTTTTCCTGCTGCACTCTTAGACTCCTGTGGACCCTGCATGCCTGCAACAGAGGGAGTCCCTGTTAGGATTCTGCCCTTTCTTCAGCTGTAGACCGCTCTTATCTGGTACTCAGTAGAAGGCCTAATTCTCCAGCTCTACTCTCAGACTTAGGCAGGTCCTGTGTCCTTGACTTGGTGATGATTTCTCTCAATATTCTTGCCTCTCTCCAGTGTTAGACTGTCACCCCCCGTTACTGAGTCTAAGACCTGGTGGATAGCAGAGTTTATATAAACAGCCCCTGCATGCCTGAATCTCAAAAGGGTTCACACTCAGCTGTCCAGCCCTTTTATGAGACAGACAACAGCTATCCATACTCATGTAAATTTGGAGTGTGAGAGGGTTTTTTTTTTGGATTTTCTGATTCATCCTCAAACTTAGGCAGTCTCTTTAGATCATTAATGTATCTTAAAACTTTGAATCTTCAATGATCTTAAAAATTATGACTCCGTAGGTTATCTGATTTGTTCTCATTGTCTAGGTGAAAGCAATGTTTCTTGTAACTTTCTATATTTTAGATAGAAGCAGAAGCTCCTTATTGCATTTTATCCTTAATTCTCTCTTAGATTTGGTTTTACCAGAAACAAACACTAAGAAAGGGATTTGAATTCAAGCATTTTATTTAGGAGGTAATCCCAGTAAACCCCAGTAAAATAGTGAGAGGAAAGACAGAGAAGAGAAAGAAGCCTATATATTGTTCTAATGAGTGGTGCAATCCCATTGGGAACTTCTGGAACACTGTATGCAATCAGCCTTAGGGAGGAAGATCAGTATTTATTCACCAACTTCCATCTGTAATTGATTAGCTATCCTGCCTGTGGGTGAAGCTTACTCCAGGTCAAATATGGCAGAGAATCACAGGTGCTTGCAGTAGAAAGTTGTTTACATGAGGGAATGTGGGCAGCACAACACTGTCTATCATAAACTCTCCAAAGACACTTATCACTTTATTTTTCAGACATATCGGTATACTAGGGCATGTTTTAAGAGGATGATTCAGACTTGACTTATTGTTGTGTTCTCTCAGCATGGAGAATAGTCAGAAGACAATCAATAGATATTTATTGAATGAGAAAATATTTATAAAGTACCAATATGTAGAGTTCTAGTTAGCTCATCTTTATTTCCTATCCTCTTCTAAACCCTCATCCTCACTCCCACCCCAATCACTCAGATAACATAGGTTGTTCTCTTAATTTTCAAAAAGGTAAAATTCACCGGAGTGGTTGGTATTTTTAAAAAACATATTGACTTTCTGGCTAATTTGAATGTATTATAATTTTAAAATATAATTTCCAAAGCTGAACGTTGTCTAACATATATTTTCTATTATTTGCAGCCAACAATGATTAGGCGTCCACCAACAATTGTTTGCTACATTTGTGGCCGTGAATATGGAACAAAATCTATTTCCATCCATGAGCCACAATGTCTGAAAAAATGGCACAATGAAAACAACTTGTTGCCTAAAGAGTTAAGGAGACCAGAACCTAAAAAACCCGAAGTCAGAACCATTAGTGGTAAGTTTTTGGAAGAAAAAGACTTGAGTGCATAAGGGGAGACTTTTCTCTCAGAACTTATAAGTGTAAAGATAGTTTTTTCTTTCTCATTCAAACAACTTAAATCAGCAATGTTTACTGTCTTTGTTATAGCTGAATAGGAAAAATGGTTCTAGAATGCCTGACCAAAGTGTTGTCTTCAGATGCTGAGTCATAAAGACACTACATCCTGGCAAAACTGTAGAAGGAGAGGGACTCACTGGAATTTACATATTGCTCCAGTTACTTTTACATATTATCAAACATAATATTTAAAAAAACATGAAGCTTAAAAAGAAGCTTTGGGGACATTTGGAGACATGTTTTCAAATGCAATTGTGTCTTACTATTCATAGAGGAAGGGTAACAAACTCAAATGCTTACAGGGTCCACTAATCAGGTTTCAAAACTGAATAAGTTGGTTCATGTAAAATAAAGTAGTGAGCTAGAGAGCACTTGCTCTGTCTAAATGAGGCAGCTGCTGCCCAGTTCCAGCTGGTGTTACCATTAAGAAATTTAGCCCAGCGTGGTCATATCTTTCAATAATATAAAAGAAACTGGAAATCTGGACATGTATATGAAATGTCCAAATCTTTAAATTTTGCAATCAGTACTTTGTTAAGCACTGTACAAGCTCAATGAAACTGGAACTCCATAAACTGTGTGGCCTTATTACAGAACCTTATGCTTTCTCATTTAGTGTATGAGAATAAAGTAGTTCAAAGAATATTTTTGCCTTACAAACTCTGGCTTTCTCTCTTCCATTGTCATTTTCTCAATTGATTCCCTAATTCCCCTCAAATGAATATTATTCTTAATTTTTGAGAAGAGTATCATTCAATTCATTCATTCTCCTTTTGTAGCTATAGAGTTGCAGAGCTGGAAAGTACCTGGAAGGTTATTTGTTATCATTTTGTCTAAAATACTCTTATTAGAAATGTGACCCAGAGTGAGTGTTTTTTTTAACAACCCACAGAATGGAATTTAGATGATCATGATAAAGTTCTAGATGCTTCTAGAATTCAACTATCCATAGTTCTTGCTAAGAGGATGACTCTGCACACAGATGGGGAAAAGCACAAGATGAAAACATCTATTTATTGAAATTAGAGCATTTCCCACAAAGACATTGTTTACCTTATTGAAACTCTCTTCCCAGCAATTCTCATTTGGCATCAAAAATATATTTCCTTCACTTCAGATCTTTATCACTTTCTCTGCTTGAGCGTAATTATCACAAATCTAGGAGAGGTGAGAGAAATGACTGGTTCGAAAGCCCTAGTGGGCTCACTCTTTTGTTATTGCCTATAGATGGAAAAAGTAGGTCCTATAACTGCACCTCCTATAATTTTCCTCTCGGCTTCATGCTATTGTATTTCTGAAGGCGTCCTTCCTCTCTAGGCCAAGAGAATTCCCATTACCATGCCCCTCGTCATGGATTTACTGTAGTCATAGGGTTCAAATAACCCCTTCTTTCAGAACCAAAGTCATAGCCCTATTGAAACACAGCCTTTTAGAAATAATGAATCATCTTAAAGTAAGAATCAATGAATACTCTAGAATCTTTAGTCCATGTTAAAACTCATGAGTGGAGAAAGTCAGTGCCAAAATATACCTTCATATCCTATGTAGAAAATGATACTTGCTTTATACAAAAAAGAAAAAGAAAAAAGAAAAAAGAAATACTAGATTTTCTGGAGTTTAATTTTTTATAGAGAAAAAAGGAGAATTAGCAGTAGGCATGTTGAGGAAGCTAAAGTTTGCTGTGGTTGTGTAAACCATTAGACACATCATATGAGAATTGCCTGGGTTTTAATGAAGAAATATATACTATGAAAATGATAAAAACTATGTAATATATTTTTGAGCGCCTGTCTACATTTTTAGGGGGTGTTATTTTGGGATATTCTAAGACATAGTCAATTTTTTTGTACTAAAGTCATTCTATCTAAATAAGGTTCATTAAAGCTAAATCCCACTCTGTTCTCTAAAATAAAGCCATATGCTTTTTTTCCTATGCTCTGCCAGTGAAGATTATACATCTTTTATCTGTCTCTGTTGTTTCCTAAAGAGTACTTCTTTTTATCAAATTAACTATTCTGTTTGCATTCTTCACTTTAATTACTTAAAGAATCTCTGAGTTTATGGCCTTGAAGAGATGATAAAATTTTAGGATATAATTTATCTTAAATTCACTCTCAACTGCCAGTTTTGGCTCTAAAAACATTCCACTGAAGGATTACGGAAGAGGAAAATACCAATACATGTTCTTTTCCTTTTGTAAGTTTATATTTAGAGTTGACTGAAAGAAGGCCAAAAGTTATATTTGCAAGATAATAATGTGTAAGCAAAGATGTTAATAATTAGCAAAGAATGCATATCATAACACATAAAACAATGTCATACCCTTTTTAAAATCCAAAGAGCAAAAAGCCTTTGGTTCATAACTAACTTTACTCAACCCTTGAGTGAGCAGCACTTTTTTTTTTTTGGCAAAACTAATATGATTTGTTTAAAAGCCTCAGTCAACAGGTATTTCCTGAAAATATTTTCCATAAAAAGTAGAATATGGTTCTCTGGGATGAAAACTGATCCATTTTACCATTTTTCTTTTCCTTTTCTTTCTTTTTTGTTCTTTTTTTTTTTTTTTTTTAACTTTCCAGCCAAGGGTTTCTATGATCTCGATGCCTTAAATGAAGCTGCTTGGAAAAGTGCCCAGAGCCAGTTGGTTCCCTGCAATATTTGTGGGCGTACCTTCCTGCCAGACAGACTGATTGTTCACCAACGATCCTGTAAACCAAAAGTCGCCAAGTAAAGCCCTTCTCCCTATAGAAGTGTTGCAGGAATTAAATCCTTTTGATAGAGATCAGGGTATGGTGGGAAGGAGAACAAGTTGGTGACAAGAGGAAGCAAGTAAAACTGGAATGGACCAAAGGCTATCTAGCACGGGGAGCAAAGTGCTTGGGTGGCATGGGAGTGACCACTGCATAGTGGGAAAATGTTCTGCTTTTAACAAGCAGAGCATGTGTGAGGACACACTGGGAGCCACACATGCCACACTTTTGTCGGGCAAAATTACAAGTGAGCTGCCATTCCCCAGAGCTGGTATTTTCATCTCAAGGAAATTTCAGAGCCGACTGTTGCCATTTTTCTTCCATTTTATTTTCCTGAACGAGATTTTGAACCTCACAATCAGAGGTTCAAAACAGAAGTTTTGGGTGGCGATTTCAGGCAACTCCTTAGTCCCAAGAAAAACTGGATTCTTTCCCATCCTTGTGCTTATTGAAATAACAGGCCACTCCCTACTTCCTCTAATCCAGGGAAGTGTTTTAAATTGAGCTATTGATTTGGAATCTTCTTTTCTTTATAAGACCATTCAACAGGAGAGACATTCAAAAGAGAGGTGAGGACTTAAAGGACTAGAACCATATCTAACTCATATTCCCTTCCTAATAGTGAAAAATTCAACAGAGAAACTTCAGAACCAGTGCCAGCCTCACATATCAGGAGAACGCGGCATCGCGATTCATCAAAGGGTGGAGGCCCCTTCCTTCTATAGGGGAAGTCCAGCGCGCACTCTCTGTGCCCTCGCAGGACCTCATAGGTGTTTTATTGTTGAGGTCCAAAAGCCTGCCAGGAAGCTGTCTCCCCCCACCCAAGGTCCATGCACAGTAAGTGGGCTGTGAAACTGCTCTGTGTTTCAGAGTCCTTGAATGTGCATTCATAGAGGCAGGCTCTCCTGGGAGGAGGCCAGAGCCAGGGAGGTGCTCTGCCCAGAAAATCCTGCTCCCCCAGGCAGCACTGCTTTGTCTGGACTCCCAGAAGTTTTGCTTGAGATCTTTGTTCATTTTATGGCTGAATTTCAGGGCCATTCTGGATTCACTGGGTTCTTGCAAGCTTGCATTCATGACTGTACACAGCACAGTTAGCTTCAAATTATACCAAAAAAAAAAAAAAAGTATTCAAGCTAATATTTTGGTTATACATCTTGGTATTAAAAAGGATAGGTTAGGATAATGGTGCGGATCATTCAGTTTTTTCTGTTCATTCCAAAAGAAGCAAGAGATGAACTTTTAAAAAAGTGTTTAGGTGCCCTCCAGTAATATTATTGGCCTGTGAAAGACATAGTATTTAATGACACATAATGAATAATTTAGTTTTCTTAACAAAATGAAAACATCTAATATATAGTAATTTTACTGTGACTTGGGTACTGTGCATGGTGCTTCCTATACATCAGTTTATATAAATCTCACATCAACCCTATAAGTACATGTGATTATCCTTATATTACACATGAGGAAACTGATATTTAGACTAAATAGTAACTCAAGGTCACACTTGAGCTAAAAGATAGAGTAGGGGAGTGAACTCAGAACTGTTGGGAATTCTAAACCTATAAGCTTATCCATTGCCATTTGTATGCTTGATATCATCATTAATTACACTAGCTATACCAACACAAATGATCTGACAAATGCGAAAAGTTTTGTATAACGTTTAGTAACTAAGGTAAACTAAGGTACATGTATACTATGTGCCTGCTGGTTTGGGTTTATCTTAAACTGAGGTAAAAACTAACATTCGAATTGCATGGTATTTCAAAAGACACTTCTGCATTCTGCTAATGTTCAAAGTCAAATAGTGTGGAAATAAAGAAAAAGTTCTGGCCTCAACTTTGAAATGAGTGGCCACTTGGGGCCATAAAAGAAAATCTTGGGCACTTCGCTTTCAAAGCATGAAAAAATAAAACCGAACTACTTTATCTGTAGGAATTATTAAGTCTGTGAGCTCTTGAAGTAGTTGAAAAAGACAAACTTTTATAGGAATCTTCACTTCCACGGGGAACTGTGAGCCAATTGAGGTCCATTGAAAGGCTGACTGTTGGGATTCTACTTCCAGCCTCACCTCAGCCAGCCTGCAAATGTTCCCTGGAATTAAATCCAGAGCAGCCTCAATTGAAATGACATTGATCGAAGAGTTCCCACCATTATCAAGGCAAGTCATCAGAGCCTCGCCATTAACAGGAAAGAGCTCACCTGCTCTCTGCCAACTGCCCTCCCCTCAATTAGTTTACATCTGTGCAGATCTTTGTACTCTCAAAAGAAAATAATTTCTTTAACAATGGTTGGCACCTCCATGAGCTATGACTTTGAACCTTGAAATGGTTCCCATAGATACTCTTCTAGATGATGAAGAGCAGATACTAGATGAAGTTACTTGGAACTCTTACATTCACCCAGGCGGTTATTGATCTGCGATGTAATGTTGTTATAGGCATCGGCAACAGTGTAATCCCCTCACTGCTCTGTTAACTGGTGCTGCACAAGCTTTAATTGAATTCCCCTCTAGCCGAGGTTCTGAAAAGAATTTCAGAACTTCTCAATGCTTGTTTGCACCTTGAATTCGCATCAAAGATGCAGAACATGACCTATCAGTAGGGAACACTGGGGACGGAGGAACATGTCCTGGGAAGGGGAGTGTAAAGAAAGAATTCCCTACTGTGAGCAAGCGTAGAACTCTGTTAGGGTTCCATATGGGAGGCCTTTGGGCAGCCTCCCTACCAAGCAGCCTTGCAGCACTTCCAAGTGGGGTCCAGAACTTCCAAGAATGACTTTCAGATGACACTGCTTCAGCCTGGGGAATATTAGCCTGAGCCCTTCAAGGAAGAAGCAGCGGCGACCGTCAAGCAGACCCGTTTGCGAAGAGGAAAGAGATAGAGGGCAGATGTGCAAAGTCCTCTACCCACTGAAAACCTGAAAACAGCCCTGATCCTTCTGTACTTGTCTGCTTCTGACATTAGTAGCATTTTTATTTTTATGCCCGTTTAAACCAACAACTCGTATGGCTTTAATCCTGTATCAGGTCAGGGCAGGAAGTTCAGCCCTTTCCTTTCCCAGTCCTGAGGGGTCCATTCCCTCCTCTGGCGATAGTCCACCTCCTTTTATCATTTATTACTTTCCTACTGACTCACTGTCTGGCCCACATGAACTGCTGCGCCTGTTTCTGCTGGCCCTGCCTCCTCTCTGTGAGCGCTGTGACCAGAAATGAAAAAGGAGATTTTCCTATACTTGGAAGAAACAGCACAAATGAGAAGCAGTCAAGTTTCCAGTGGGGGCCAAATTGGGTGTTGAAGAGAAGATGTACACCAGAAAAAATACTGCTAAGTTATCATAGGATGTACACCTTTATGCTTAGTTCTTTTGCAATTTTATTATTAAAAAAAGTTCAAATAGATACATGCATAGGGAAAACTATAATGAAGTGTTATGTTCTCTATACCCAGCAAACTTAGTTCTCGATATTCCACCAAGGTTGAATTTGAATGGTTTAAATTTCAAATACTACTCCTTTGGGTATAAGAGGAAGATGGAGGTGGCAGAGAGAGGTGCTGGGAGCGCAAGATTCCAGAGTGTCTCCGATAATGCCTTTTAATTCTATTACTAGAAACTCAAGTTTAAGCCAGCATGCATATAAACCACAGCAAGTGTGATAAAAAAAAAAAAAAAAAAAATGAAACCTGACCTAGGCGTCATGGGAGCTAGGTCCTATCATTGATTCACACCGATCACCTTACAGGCCACGGTTTTTCAAATGATTCTTAGCTGAGAATGTGTTAGGTAAAATGTGGCCTTCAAAGAGATCTCCAAAAATCATGAATCTGTTGTTTTACATGGTAAAAGAGACTCTGCAGATGTGGTTAAGGTTATGGACCTTATAATAGGAAGTGTATCTCAGATTATCTGGGCGAGCCCAGTCTAAACTCATGAGTCCTCAAAAGAATAACAAGGAAAAATTATCATTATTGTTATTCAACTTCTTATTGCATGTTGAATCCAGGGTTGACCTTCTGACCTACAGACCTGTAAGAAAATAATTTTATATTGTTTTAGTTACTAAGTTTGCAATAATTTGTTATGATAGCAACAGACAATTAGAAGAAGTATCTATGTGGCACACGGTAGGACCAATAAAACTTCCTATTGATCAGGGAAGTAGAGCCCTCAAATCCATGAGGGACGCTGGCCACCTCCACTGCTTGCATTAGTGAGAGGGCACCATAACAGAGGCAGAGAGCCGAAGGAGAACGGGCTCCAAGATTTGCCATCCCTGAGACACAGCTGTCTCATAACGTGGATGCAGATTTTCAATGTTTTGTTTAATTATTGTAATTGTAATGTTCTGTTAATATTTTTAACCATAAAACTGATTCTGTCATATGTACATACTTGTTTCAAAAAATAATAATAGGTGGATAAATGCAGTCGAATTATTGGTAATAGACTTTTGGTGCCAATAACCCATAGCCTTGCCCTGGTCACCTGTCTGTTCTTTCCGAGAGCTACAGAAAGAAAATAAACTGCATAAGCTGAAATAGTAGATGGTTGTTGTTAGAGGAATCTCTGAATAAGGTACTGACTGAAAAGTAGTCAAAACATTCAAATTCTGAAAGTGCAGATATGGTTTGAACAAATCCCAAAGTTCTCTTATGATTTTCCAGGGCTGTCCTGAGGGGCCACATGCAGATCTAAAAAGTAGGCCGGACCATCAAAATAACTTGCTGGAAGTGCAAGGAAAGGGTGGACAAAATCACTTGATTTGGGGACCAGCATTCAGCAAATTTCCAAGAAGAAATTTACCCTCAATGCTTCATCTCCCCTCTTTGAACCTCTGCCCTTCCCCTCATTCATCAAGGTTTCTCCGGGACCCCACTGTCCCACCTTCCACCGACTACTGCCCAGATTGCTGTTTCTGCTGGAGCAAAACTCGATGGTTCCATGTTCCAGATATTCCTCCATCTCCCCCAATCTACCCTTCAGCATTTCACTGCCCGAGTCCCTTTCTCAAGTTTTCACTAGGTATTTTATTAGAAAGAAATTCAAGAAAGTCATCTTTGCTAAAGGCGTTCATGATAACAATGGTTTAATGTGTTATCCTTTTCAGGTGATACGGTTATTTTAAAAAGAAGCTTCCTAGAAGTATTATGTCTTTATCCAAAGTAATAAAATCCATGTGGTAGAATCTTAGACAAAATGTTGGAATGGAAGTCAAGAAGGCATAAGGAGTGGGTCTTTCCTTGACCACGAGTGTCCTTTATCACAATACAGACCTCTGCTAACTCCACATCTGAGTAGAGGTATCTCTAATAGGATATCCATTGATAGCTTGTATTAGGGTGGGCTAGCTGCCGTAACAAATGGACCCAAACAGTATGACTTAAATAAGACGGAAATTTCTTCTTGCTTTGAAGAGTCCCAAGAAAATGAACAGTTTAATGAGGTGTCCCTCCTTCATGAAATTATTCAGAGCTCCAAGCTGATGAAGTTTCTGCCACTTTCATCATGTGACACTCAAAAGTTGTTCTGGGAGGTCCCCTCCTTTCAGTCCAGCCTCAAGGAGAAAATAACATGGGAGTTACCCATTTCACAGATTTATATAGACAAGACCTGGCGAAATGCTCTTGATTCCACTCACATTCATTGGCTGAATCTCACCACATGGCACACTTAAATGCAAGGGAGGCTGGACATTGTGTTCTCACTGCAGCAGTGGGAGGCAGAGGTAAACAGAGATTTGGAGGAACAAGTAGTGGTCCCTGCGATGGAACTCAAATGTAAAGTTATCCGTGGCTTCTTGTTAGGGGGCTGCTTGCCCTCTTGTGAGAAATTGACAACATTTGGGCACAAAGCCAGGAGGACAAAACATTGTTCTTAGGATCAAGGCAGACAAGATCATTAAATTAGGGTGAAAAAAAGGTGAAACTTCAAAATTGCAGCCATTTTCACACATCATAAATAGCATTTAATTTTTGAAGGAAAGGTTTTCTTGTTTGTTGTTTGACAGAACAGTTTAAAGGACATTTTTAATATGCAAAGCAGAGTCCTGGGTTCAGTCTCATACGGGTAGTTGCAGCAAAGAGGAAAGAAAATTTTGCGAAAGAATGTGAATGGCTACCTTTATAGTGGGTGGAGCTCCAATTTGGGAGAGTTCATGAGTAAACTGGTTTTTCATCCTCTAGGTAGAGCCTGACAAAAAAAAGAAATTGGAGTTTTGAACTCAGTACTAGGTCAAGGGGAACTCCCACTTATATGAGGAGGGAATGAAACCATAGCAACATGTCAGGAAGACATGAGACACGAGTTGAAAGACAGCAGGTAGCGGACTCCATACATTGAGATAAGACTGGTGGACTTAGGAACAGAGATCACCGTTACCAAGTTTTAAATGTTCCTCCCCTGTTTTCTAACTCTGGATAGTGTCTTCAAGCCTTCCCTCTGCCTTACTCTTAGCCTTGCTAACAATAGCAGGGGCTTGGGATGGAGTTGTGAAGTAAGAGGGGAGCCAATGTCTGTCTATACATGGACAGAGAGACCAAGAAACCACTGAAAACTGCACGGAGCATGCCAAACGGCAGTTAGGAGCAACAGATGGCACGCGACCGCCAAGGCAGGTGCGTACTCTCCAGTAATCCTCAGAATCGCCAAGGAGAGGACTGGGATTTCCGACATCTAATAGGGGCTTAGATCTTGGTGATTTGGCTGGCAAAGACGTATGTAATCCCGAGAGGCCAGAAAAGGGTATATGGCTAAACACGCTCCTATTAAACATCAGTGAACAACATTAGACTGTGTGTAATTGTGTCAAGTGGTTGTGTACAGGCTCTAACACCTGCAGCCAAAGCAGATGAGAGCACTGAAATCGTTAGCCAGGTAGAGGCAGTGGGGGCACTAGAGGACACCCCATGAAAGAAAGCCACAGTTATTGTGGTCTACTACAAGAGTTGTAGAGCTGGCTATGTTTTGTTTCCACTCTAATTGGCTTGTTTTTCTTTGTTACTCCCTAGGGTTTGTCCACAGGATTTCCTGATAACTTGATAAGACATGCTACTTTGCCTCAATTTGGTACATTTTCTAGACCACAGCTTCCTAACCAATGTGCCTGTTATTGATGTGCTACCACATTAATCCCTTTGGCCCTCCGGGCTGCCCGCCAGGGCCTGTGGAGGTCGCTTCTGTCTGTAAGCAGCCTCACTGGCTAACACTAGTGTGCAGTACCAATATCAGCATCTTCTAGATGTGCTGTAAAGTGAAACAGTGGAAAGCTCTACAATCCTTTATGTTGATAGGTGGCATTGACCATGGGAAAGAGGAGGACAGAGCTGTTAGACAGTTGAAGCAAACTTATAAAAAAAAGTTATCCAAGTTCACATTTTAGTTACTTGCCTGGCTAAAGCTGCCACTTTTTTCTCTCTCTCTCTTTTTTACATGCTTCCTGCCCAACTTCTATCACCAATGTGGTATTTTCCAAAGAGATGAGGAACCCACATCCGAAGGTTATGGTAAAGCAATTCCATATACCTTTTAGTACCGAGGGTTAGAGGGAAATCCCTGTACAGCTGGGGCAATCAGGCAAGGCTCTCAGAGGGCTTCAAACGTGGGCACGTTGAATGTGGGGTTTTCTGGGAGAGCAACATGGACAGCAAGTCAGGTACGGCTGCAGCAAGGAAGAAGGGGCATGCAGGATTTGTGTGCAAGGAAGGTGAAGGGTGATGACAACGAAGAGATCAGAATAGTTATGGCTTCCTTCATCCAAGCCCTCAGCTTGTGGTATGTGCCAAAGCAAATCGAACAAGCCTTATGACCTTTTTATTTGGGAGGGCATCAGATAAGATAACCTCTAAAGAAAAAATGGGGATGAAGGAACATAAAGGTTAGGAAAGTTATAAATCTACTTTTTCCATTTTGTTCCCACATTTACCTTCCCCTAATTTTTACACTCTCACAATATCATCGTCTCTGTCCCAAACTCCATTTCTCTTGATAAGCAGGCTCATTTCACACAGCTCTAGCAATAGGCACTCTCTCGCCAGAAGAGGGCAGTATTCGGAAGCAATGAAGATAGAAATCCTGAGGTGCAGGCAGGAAGGCTGAGTTCTCATTTCTTGTTTACTGTAGTGGCAAGCTATAAAAGGAACATGAATTTACTTCCAAAGTCATATCAAGTGACTCTTCATCTCCCTCCTCCCAGTTTTTAAAGGAATAATCATAAACATTTAGGGTATCGATATTTCTTGGCTTCATAACAGGCCATGTTTTGGCCAGTTTTCTAACAAAACTTCCACAGAATATACAACACAAATATCTAGAAATTGTGAGTGATTCAGGCAAAATGGGTGCTTTGCTTAAAGTATGCCTGCTCTTATTATACAGTTGGCAAGTTGAATTTGTATTCTACCCAGGTTTTTTTTGTTTTGTTTTTCAAAATGATTATACAAGTCATTTATTAACTTTCTCGACAAAATATTTCCTGAGCACCTGTTAGGTGTCATGTGCTGGCCGGACAATGAGGAAGTATGGAGATGACTGTAACAAGGAGAGCTACTGGGTGGTATAAATGGATGGCATGGTCTTGAAAGAAACTGGATTGTTTAAAAAGGCAGAGAAAAGTCTTAAAAGGGAAAACAATGGGGAATAAAGAGGCCACATAAGCCACCCCCAGGCACTGTGAGATATGGGCTATGGGAATCTGATGGTG